ACTAGCATTTGAGCCTGAGGCAAAGAACTCAATGCAAAGTGATTGAAGACACTAGCTGGCAGGACTGTGGAGCTTGAGATCTTTCCTTTTGTTCAGCTGGCCCGCAGGCAGCTCTTTGCTGCTGCAGCAGCTGGAAGTACTTTGGTTTTGGCTTTTCACAGGCTCTTGTCAACCACTGTTTGCAGGTGTATTGAATATGGACGTGCCCTGGACTTGGTGAATCTTTCTAGACAGGGTGTAAATTAAGTTAAACCCTGGGGGAGGAGGAACGCAAAGTTCTGACAGGCTGAAGGCAGTGGTTTTGAGAGGGCATCCGTGTGCCACGCAGGGTGCTGGATGCTGTCCTGGTTCCTGTGGGGAAGCTGCAGCTGCAGTAGCTCACATGGCCCTTCGTGGTGTCCAGAGAAATGCTTGTCATCCTCTACAGATGGAGGAAATGCAGGGGACATTAAAGAGGCACTTGTCCCACTAGTCTTCTGCAAGATTGATTGGCTTTTCCTAAGCCATCTTTTTGATCTCTGCTAACCATCTTGTCTCCAGCTGCAGCATCCTCTGCTTTGGATTTATGGACCACTGCCTGGGGAGAGAACTGCCACTGCAGGCAACCAAGCTGTTCTTTAAAACCAGGGGCTACTGAGCCTGACCTCTTTTGTTTTGCAAGTTAAACAGACCATTTGCAGATCAGAACTTGGCAAATGAAAATGGCTTCTGTTAAAACATGAGTGGAGTCAGTGTTTAGTACTTGGGAGCCCGTGTGACATGGTTGGTGTTGAAAGGACAGTGGTATCTGAAGACAATCAGTAAAAAGTACACGAGTGTCGCCATAGATTTAATTCCAACTAGCTTGTTTCAAGTTTTGTTTTCTCTGAATTGTTTGAATTCATCTGGTGGGCAGTGAAAAGCTTGTAGGAGATCTCTTCCTCCTGCTTTGCAAACGCTTGACCACAGCTTGTGTGAACATTTCTGAAGAGCTGCGTTGGTCACCTGGCCTGTTTTTGGAGGAGGAGGAGCGGTCTAGTGAGTCAAACGCCAGGCTAGTCTGCAAAGGTGAGGATTGCTGTTGCTGTGGGACAGTTCAGTCTCAGGCAGTCAAAGCTATGCACAAAAATGTTCCTATGTGTGAAAAGGTCTTCAAGTTCTTTGTGTGGTGCTTTGAGAGCTACTGATTGAAGGCATGTGTGCTGTATTTATTTTTTTTTCTAGGCGTCATCCAGGTTTTCAAACCATTTGTTCTTCTCTCCTGTTTGCAGATCTGGGCTTTTTGCTGCCTTTACAGTGTAGCACTACATAGACTGGATCCCACTTTGCACGTGGGGAAATGAAATTTAGAAAAATAAGGTGTTCACCTCTAAGCCCCAACTTACTCTTATCGCCAAGGATAAGCATAGTTTCATAAGAAGGACCTAGATATAAAAAGATGTGAATTTGGAAGGGTACTGAGCTGTTCCTTTCCTCAGGCAATGATGGCTGCCTGGTTTAATTGAACGTGTTCTTTGTGTTTGAGGAAGAAATGTATAGCATTTAAACATGTTGCTTTAGGTTATAGATTCACTTTAAAGTACGAGTTGTTGCACTGTGGGATAACTGGTCCTGTGCCAATACACCTGAGAGTCCAGGGTACAGGACGGGATTACAGAATTATATCAAAATAATGCCATGAAGGTATCCTAAGGGATGTCAACCTGAAAAAATAATGTACCCAAAGCAGCCGCAGCTGGTGGAGGAGTGTGTAGGGCTTTGCACTGAGTGTGAACTACAAGCCTTCCTACAGCCATCTTGTGTTGTGGCAAAAGTGGAACAAATTGTTGTTTTCACTTTCCCTAGCTCTCGTAGTGTGCTGCAGAAACTTCTGATTCAGCTGTTTTGATTAGAAACGTGGTGCTTCGTAGAATGAAGTTACGTATGGGGTAACTGAAACGTGGCTGGTACTGTTTGGATGATGCATAGTGTGAGTGGGGCTCCTTTGGTTTTCTTCTGTGTTACAGCAGTAGCTGTGGTTACTACTGGGAACTTAAAGTTCTGCTCATGTTTAGGAGTTGTTTTTAACTTGGGTTAGCAAACAAAGAGTATGTGATTATAGCAAATGATAATGATTGCATGAAAATACATGTTTGGAAAGAGCTTTTTGGCACTGTCTCGTTTGGCTTTTAAAAAACACGTGTAGGGCTTCTCCTATCTGCAAGACATAAGATATCTTTTGTACGAAGAGGGCTGTCTGTCTGGAACACAGAGAAACATTAATTATCCTTCACCGCCCTGCCAGCAGAGAGCTGAGCCGAACTGCTGCAAAAGGTCCTAACTGAGGACAGCCAACACGGGAAGCTTCTGGAGAAGGGGTGAAGGGAAAGATTGAACTCTTAAATTGCTCCGTGGCTAATGTCCATGTCCTAAAGGGCGAAACGGCAAATGCAGCTTGTTGGTGTTTGTAGGACTCTGCTCGGCGTGGTGTGTGAGCAGGAGCCGTGCTGGTAGGGCTTCTGGGCACCAGTGTGCTGACAGTCATCGCAGAGGGTGTGTTTCTGGCTTCAAACTTGCAACTCCTGTGATCAGTGTTGTAGTAACATGTGGATGGCAAAATCTGTGGTAAGAGTCGGAACTGTGAAGCTGTTCAGTCGTGCTGGCTGAAACTGTTCTTCGCAGAAAATTGGATTCTCTTACAAGAGACTTGAAAAAGTGTCTGCTTTCTTTCCATTATTTTTCCAATGAAATGTCTTGGCAAAAACTGTTGAATTTGCTCTGGGAGCTCACATTTCAATACTAAATTGAACGTTTAGGTTGAAAATAAGAACCCTTTATTATAAAGTTCAGCTGTAGAGAATTGACTCCAATAACTAACTTTTAATGTGTGTTCAGTTTTTTTTATAAGCTTGTTATGAGTAGGTTTGGGCATTCTCAATAATTACTATAAACTGCAACTTTTCACTTTAAATATTTAGTGCATAGGCCACGTTAAAGAGATAAGGTCTCGTTTCATGAAATATCTTCCATTTATGAGGCCCAGAAGATTCCGAGGGCCTCTCAAGCTGCATAAATATAAGATCATTGCAGAAGTACAGCCAGGCCAAGGAGCAGCACGTAGTGTGCAGGGGAGGAGGGAGGGAGACCAGCTTGGAGCGGAGTCAGAGGATGAATGGAACTCCTCTTCGTGACAGAGAGTGCCGTGGCATCGTCTCGTGACTGCGACCAGAACAGATCTGCTTCTTGAGACTCATCCAAAAGGCTTCTGCACAGTGTTTCGTGATTGACTGATAGCCAGTGTGTTTGTGGGAGGCTCTTTACCAGGATATTTTACTGCCAAAGCACTGCGAGCGCTGCTGCGGGTGCAGCGTAAAGCTGGACTCCCACAGGTGACCGTTTGCCAAAGCATAACCCGACGTGCTGTGTGATGTGCCTGTGCTGGAGGTGTAGCTGCCGTGCTGGTGTGGGTCATGGGTCACTGCGGCCTGAAAACAGTAAAAAAAAATAAATAAAAAAAAAAGTGGACGTCTGAGTTTGAGAAGCTTCAGGCCATCTCTGAGTGAGCTGGGTTGGCTGTTGGCCGAGTCAGGTGTAAGGATTGTCAAAGTGCTGTGGCTACACCAGAGCCATTGGGAATTGCCGTCGGTCCCTCCCAGCCTGCAGGTTTCAGTGTTCGTCCACCGGCTCCATGAAAGAATCCAAGCTACAGCTGCCACACGGTGCTCTGCCCAAAACCAGGGCATCTGCTGGAGGGGCGATGGGCAGCGGCTGGTGCTGGCGGAGTGCAGTCTGTGGTTTTGGGGAGGTTTCTGTTCGAGTTACCTTCTGAGTTGCTGAAGACTCTTTCTCACTGTCATAAACAATCGCATGGTGTGATGAATGGTGCTGTTTAATGTCTATTCCTATTAAATCTTACAACCCTAATGTTGAAATGGGACCTGAAGCGTTCTCTGAAGAGAGGGAAACTGCTCTGTGTTTCCTTTAGAGCTGTTCCCTGCCGTCCCTCCTCCGTTTCCCATGTCTTTCTCTGCTTTGAAGGAATGTTAGGAGATCAGCTCTGGTTTTGTTTGCGAGGCTTGCATGAGATCTTGGGAGCTTGTCTACCCTGACAAAGTATGTTCGTTCTAGAGTACAGTAAACTTGCAAAGTGTTTCAACATGAGAAGTTTAGCAGCAGTAAATGTGGAACTGTTTTCAACTTCATTATTGCTACATAATGACACAAGCTCAACTCAGAAAGGCCCCTTCTGGCTGGAGTTTCCACTTGAGGTTGTGTTAGTAAAACCACTTGCTTAAATTGGCTGGTCTGGAGTTGTAGTTGTACATTGTGATTTTTTTTTTTTTTAATTAATTTTTCACTTTTTAACCCAAGACAAAGGAATCTGTTAACTAAGCAATTCTGGTTGTTTATAGGGGTGTTTTCATGAGGACCTGTGGGACAAGGGCTTTGTCTGTGTGTTCCGCTAGCGCTGAAACTGTCCAAAACCATCAGTGAAAAATACAGCTTCTTCAGAGAAAGCGGCTATGCCAGAATAAGCATGAATTCCCCTTTTCCGCTCTAATGTGCTTATGTTGATAAAGCATATTCCTACTGTACAGGAACACCGATTACTGGAAGACCTAGATCAGCCCAAGGGGTTTGTACTGTGATAATTCTGCGTGTAGCGAAAGGTGACAATTTCTAGGGGATGTTTATGGATGAGCTGACTGTCTTGGGTTATTTTTATACTTTGCGGATAAGAAATGAAAAGAAAGAAAAGTCCTCCTCCTGTATGCTTCTTTCTTCTTTTATATGTGTACTGAGAGTCCGGAGCTGATTTTAGTTCAATCACTTCCCTGTTTTCTAGGCCAAGGTTTATCAAGAGAATGGCTTACCTGCCATTTCTGAGCTGAAATTGGGTGACTGTTTGGTGCTGTTGGTTTCTGTTGGGTTTGGGCTGTCCCAGTCCAGACCCTGAGCGAACGCCATAGACGAGAGGAAGCACAACCCCAGATGTGTTCTCCTGGGCTTGCGGTGTTCGGGGTGCTTGTTGGCATGTGGCTATGGGGGACGAGCAAGGTAACGCTCAGCTTCTAGGCAGCTGGGTGTTCAGTCCCAAATGTCCTGACTACTTTTATGTTGGCAGTTTCTTCTTTTTTGGTATTGTAACCGGCATGTTTTGTTTTTCTTTGCTTAGTCTCTCGTGTGACTCCTAGATAGGGGTAGACTTCTTGCATTCTGAAAATAAAAGCTTTTCCTAGTAAAATAGGAAGTGTTCCTTTACCATACAGACTTCAGAAATGTTTAACTTTCTCCCTGTCCCTCTCAGTCGTGAGATTTTTATCCAGGTGTCTAAAGGGCCATGTGAAGGTTTCTTGGAATGAGAACTTCTACAAGACTGGCTGATCCCAAGTATATAAGCTGGTTATACAAGGGGAAATCTGTGTCCTCATGCAAATATGAAAGCTGTGATACTGATGGAAAAAAGCTTCTATTTGGCTTACATCATGTCCTTCCATGTCTTGAAGAAATAGAAATAACCCTAGCCATTGCCTGTCATCTGCCCAGTAGTGTTTCTCTTCCTCCACTCCCTCCTTCCCCTGCCCTGTGTCCTCTGCTTTCTGTGGCCTGTCCCTGCCCTTTGCTGTAGAATTTCCCACTGGTAACTCCGCAGAAATGACATTTCTGCAGCAGAAGACAAGGGAAATTGTTTGAGAGATAGCGAGTCTTTACACTTGAAGGTCCTTAGATAACTGCACTCCTAATTAAAAGGTCAAAGCCACTTTAAGAAACAGATGTCTACGTGTAACCTCAGCTTTGTGCAGATGGACTCTGGGAACTAAGGCTTCACGAGATGGATCTGACAATATATATAGGAACTCCTGTAGCTTCCCTAAAATAGAATTTTTTGAGCGTGGTGCATATACATGCAGCTCCGAGGGCTTTATTGGCATAAATATGGAATGGCTTGTGCTGCTTTTGCTCCCAAGTAAACTCCCAAATTAAAGTCAACAAACATTTGTGCCTCACACTGGAGTGTATACTTGTAATGCACAAGTTTTAATGTGTTCTGTGCATGTGTGTTTTGTTTTTCAGTTCATGAAAAGGTCTGTGTATTCAGGCCTCCTTTTTTTTTGTGTGTGTGTGTTCTGCAAGGTTGTTTTTTTTTTTTCTACACTGATATCCACTCCTACTGTTTATTTGCTGCTTTATTTTAGAAAGCCATTCACTGTGCTAGAATCTTACTGCCCATATGGAGACGTGAGCACGGACCAGATGCTAGGTCGATGAAATCAGCTGTTCATTGTGGAACGTGCAGTCAAGTACCTACTGCATACCAATAATCCTCAAGGGTATCAGCTACACAATTCCTGATCTCAGGAAATGACAAAGAAATAAGCAGAATGACAGTTCCTTTATGTAAATCTTCTGCTAGTCCATAGAAACCTGAAAAATGAATTTCCTTAACCCTTGTTTTTTCTTAGAGCGTTCATTTTGATGGGTTTAACAGCCTAGGTGGCAGTCAAAGACTCCTTTCCTGTTACGGTTGCTATCTATATTCTTAAAAAGAGAGTGATTCCTGTAGTCTTCTGAAGAACAGCACACCTGATGTCTCTCTGAAAACATCTCTTCTTTTCTTTTTATTTCAGGACAAACACCATGATGCTGCTCACGAAATTATTGAGACAATTCGGTAAGTGTTCATGCAGACACAGTTAGAATCCCGTGTCTTTCTGCGTATCACTGGATGGATGCCTTGAGACAACATCTAAAGGAGGGCAGCAGTTTTAAATATAATTTAGCAGCTCTAAATTATTTTCTAAGCTGAGTGGATATTGTTGCAATACAGATCTCCCTGTCAAACAGACTTTGTGTCACCTTGTCACGTTCTGTTCTCTTTTGAACAGAATTAAAAATTATTAGGGATGTTCAACTTCTGGGGCTTATGGCAGTCTGTATTCCATCTGTAGAAAAGCAACGTTAAGAAAACATCATTGGCATGATGTGTTAAGTTCTGGTCTTGCATATCCTCTTCCCCACCCTCTCCTTTTCCCCTTGCTGCAGCATTGTCAGCATTTGTATTATTTGGGAATAATCGCATTCTTCTTAATTCTGCTGGTAGAGTTGGACCGCTGCGGGGAGAAGGGGAGCACAAAGGTGAAAGGCAAATATGAAGAGTAGGAAGTCTGAGCATTTCCCAACACAGGCAGTGGGTATGTCATGGCTTGCTGTTATTTCAGCAGGATTAGGAGGTGACTTCCTGCAGAACAACTTTTATTAAACACTAATGCAAACTCCCCAGACACCTGAGGGTTGTTAACGTGTTATCCACGGTAGACTGTTCTCCTTAACTGTTTTAGATCCTTACTGTACGGGCTCCCCTTGGCTGAGGGCTGTAACTGCAGCAGGTTTGAATGGCTGGATGGTGCAAATACAAGTGAGGTACAGAGAACGATGTTTTGTCTGCATAGCCCCCTGAACTTGAAATTTGGTCAGTCACACGGGCTAGGAAAAGAGAGTGAGCCTTCTTTGCTCCCAGCTAAGTGCTTGCGTGGTAGTGCTGAGAATATCGATGATATACATGAAATCATGGTGTTTTCCCATGGTCTGTGGTGGGAGAGAAAGTGCTATGGGGCTAGAGCTGAGAATTTTTCTTCCAGAGAAATTTATTTTTCTAACTACAAAACCTTGACATCAGATGTGCTGCCACTGCTACTTCCAGTTCCCTTGTGCTGACGTTGATAAGATTCTGTGCCTTGGGAGCTCATGGCGTCATTTGTCAGCGTGATTACTGAGAAGACCCTTTCCAAAGGGATTTAAATGGACGTGGTGCTGAAAGCGATTGTTGGAGTCATCGGTGTTCATGCTTTCTGTGCTCCCCCAGCTGAAGGCAAGGGGACAACTGTGTTAGAGAGCAGTTGGGGCAAAGCGATGTTTCACAACTGTGTTCTAAGCATGACTGCGCTGTGTTAGAAGGCTTTCATGCTGCCTTTTCCTGCTTTGTGCAAAGTAGCCGCAATGTCCTTGTGAAAGTTGTGGGTAGAAGAATGCAGAGAAGTATTTGTCTCTTCAAGCTGGTAGTGAACAGCTGCTGACTGCCCATTGCCCTAATCTAAGAGAAAAAGAATTTGCAGAGATCAGAGTCCTGACATTTTTAGGGCGATGGGAGATACTAGTCAGAAGAGAGTCAGCCCTAGATGCAGAGGTTCTGTTTTTCACTTGTCATATATTTATTTGATAAGGGTGAATCAGCCAGAAGGAACCAGAACTGTTGGGTCTCCAGTATTTTTTTTTGCTGCTATTTTAAAAAGTGAGGCATGTATCAAGGCATATGAAGAAAAAACTCTGCCATTCCTATTGGAATTCATCCTATGAGATGCTCTGAGGTTTTTTGATGATGATAGTGCTTGCCCATTTTGATGCTTTTGGAGGAAAGTGTGTGCAAAGCTTATGTGGCTTTTAAGTTGTCTTTGAAAGGAATTAATCTCCCTCTATTCCAAGGGCAAAGATCTCCTCTGTCAGATGCACTGCGAGTGGGTGTGCGCTTTCCATTTCGAATGGCAACAACATACGGGGCTGTGTTAACTCAACATGGAAGAGGGATCTTTTATCAAAATAACTTTTGAAAATCTGTTTTGGGTTGGGTCATGTAAGGTGTAAGAGCAGTTCAGAGCACTACACAGAGGGGAATATCCTTGCAGTGTTTTGGGGTGCTGTAGGAAATGTCTTCTCCATGTTCAGCTTTGTCAAAGCTTGTTACAGTATCAGAATTCTTTTGAAATATTGCACTTGTGCATTACATTCTAGGTCAGATTAGCATCAGCCATGGCTTTGAGTATTTTTAGGTGCGTCAAATACATTTATCACCTTGTTTTGAAGTTGTGCCATTTCAAGAGCTTTATACTACTGCCAATGTCTACGAGCATCTTACTGTTTATTCAATAAAACACAAACTGTTGCAGCTTTCTGGTTAGCATTTTGTGATGTCTGCCTTATTCCTAATGATACTGGGATCTTTCAGGTCTGCTGCAGTATTCTGTCGTAACATACAGCAATGCCACTCTAAACTGAGCCACACTCCCTATTATACTTAATTGGAGATGGTTTTATTCGTTATTTCTTCTTGCATTCCAGGTGGGTCTGTGAAGAAATCCCAGATCTCAAGCTTGCTATGGAAAACTATGTTTTAATTGACTATGATACTAAAAGGTGAGAGGAATACTTTTTTCCCACCAGGAGGACAGGCCAGCACGGTTTATAGTGAATCAGTTTGTAACTGGTTATTCTTAGACACTGTGAACTGAAGTTTTCTTTTAGAACTGGCAGAGTTATTTTGGTAGGAAATGTGTAACAGCAATATTGGCAAAGGCTGTTGGATTAAGGACATAATTGGAAACTCCACACAGTAGAAAGTTGAGCTCTGGTGTACGTTGGAATTACTCACTCCGAAACAATGATTGGTATCTGCGCTGTTGGACTGTGTCCAGTGTTAGGAATCTGAATGGCACTGAGATTTCTACTTTTGTAGTAACCAAGAATTCCTGTTTAGAAAGCGGTAGGCCAGAGCTGTCTGTCAGCGCCGTGTCCTCCGCCTGCTGTGACTGCGGGACGTTAACCTTCCCCAGCCCTCCTCTGGTTAGGATTCAGTGCAAGCAGGATGCTGGTTGAGTGGGGGGCTAAATTCAAAGGCAAATTATTCATACTGCTCTTCTGGGCAGTGAGAAGTAATTTTAAGATGCTTGTAGTTTCATGTGAATACCTGTTCCACAAACAGCTTAAAATGAGTGTATAGTATGTGGCATTAGCCTTGAGGCTGGGAGAGGCAGATTCTGACCTGCAGAGAGGTCTGAGGTTCTGTGTATTGCCTGGGCTGTACTGAGACTGGGAAAAGATATGACCCTCAAGCTACAGTTTTCAAAACCTTCTTCATTACTTTCATGGGAAAGACTGAATTTGTTCAAGTCCACCACATGACTAAACTTTTAGAATGAGGTTTACAGATGAAACTGCATTGCTCCGATTAATCCCTGGCTGTTGTCCTGAGCACCAGGTACTTGTATCATTATCTGCTTAAGGTATTGCTTCCTCCTCTTAATTTAAAATTGATTCATTGCAAGATTTGTTAGTCCCTCTCTTCCTCCTGAAAAATTCAAAAGGAGAGATCAGGGTCCAGCATCCTTTGTCATCAAATCCATTAATTTGTATTTCTGGATTACTCACAGCAACTGCAATGCTCTAACTTATGTAGTTAGGTGTATGTATGGATGTAGATGGATGAGGATGTATGCATCCTCACTGGGTGTTAGCATCAGTGTGTTTATGTAGTTCTGGCATCCTCACTGGGTGTTAGCATCAGTGTGGTCAGCAGCAATACTAAATAAAAAGAGATACCCAAAAGGCACACGTCACTTACCTTTCTGCAGCTTTTCAAGGAAGTCATAAGCCTGTAATTTTGGTAATGGTTTTAGTCTTTTTACTTCCTTTGAAAAAAAATTGTCGGAAAAATAACTTGTGTCAGATAGACTGACACATGGATGTAGATGAAAAGCAGTGGATTGTAGAAACGCATGCGCTGTGCAGACAAAAACCTGCTTCAGCCTCTTGCTTTGTCTTAACATGGGATTAAACATGGGCAGCTGAAAGCCTGAAGTGGAAGTTAGCGGCGCTCCTCAGAGAGGTGTCCCAGCCAGCGCCGTGGTAACGAGGATCACAAGAGACTGAAGAGCTGCTTCCTTCTGATGTCCCCTGGTCCCCCTGCTCCCCTCCTGATTTGGGGATGGCTGTGATTTCATGATCTTGCTCCTGCAACTCCCTGGGTTGTTGTTTTTTTTTGCTCTTGCTTTGTGGGTCTGATTATGTAACAGATGATGTTCCTGGTAATATCTTTTCTTCCCTGTCCTGAGATGAATTTATTTAATCCTCTCAGCTTCTGTCATGAAGGCATCTGCCTGAAATGACTGTAATCCCAGCCAACCCATGAAGCAGTCGGGATGCTTTTCTGATGGGTGACATTGCAGATTGTGTCCTGAGTCTTGTCTGCATGTTCAGTCACAGAGTTAATTTCTAGAAAAATATCTACTTGTCTCAGGACTGATTATCATGGAGGGGTGATGGAATAAAGAAGAAAACTTTACAGATGTCTTAAATTTATGAGCAGTTGAGGATATGGGAGTGATGGACTACGAGCCTACAAAACTTTGTGATCAGTTGTACTTTGAGTTCAGTCCTTTTTCCATTAATTAAAGAAACTAGTATTATTTGTCATGTATTCCTGGTTTACTGGGGAATTTTTTAAAAGGAAACAGTCTACAGAGTCCTAGATGTATGTAATTGCATGTACTGCAAGAAAGAGACCTGAAATAGCCACCTACTTAAGAGTACATATGATGCCAAAAAAGCACAAGGTTGTACCTTCAGACCTGCCTTTTCCAGCTGTTTTTAACTGACCCTGTGCGTTCTTTCCCCCCGTGTAGCTTTGAAAGCATGCAGAGGCTTTGTGACAAGTACAACCGAGCCATTGATAGCATTCATCAGTTGGTACGTATTGACCTTTGTTACACGCCGTCGTGTTTATCTAGCTGGTTTCAATTCAGGTATCGTGAATAATATCCAGAAAGAGGCGGCTGGCTTAGCGCTGGGTTACACGTTAGGCTAGTTGCATCACCAGTGTTCAGCACTTCCATTCTTTTGGGGAGTTCATGAATCTGATATTAAACCTTGATCACACCTGGGCAGTCACGCAGTTAGTACTGGAGGGACATTCTTATAAGAGAAAAGAAAAAATATTTTTTCCCCCAAACTGCAGATTTGTAAGCTGTTATTCTTCAGCGTGCACTGCGGGCACCGCTGTTCCGGCACTCTGAAAGAGCTGGGTTACCTTAGGGGGAAGAAAAGGTTTCTCTGCATTTAGCAAGTAGTTGTTTCACGGGGATTTATCCTCTAGATTTACTTGTGCATGGGGAAATCTGTGGCTTATGGGTACTTAAATAATCCATATGAACTCTCCTGTGTGTTGTGGAAGTGATCCGTGGCTTAGGAATTTCCTTGCTTGCCACTCAGTTCAGCCGCCCTGTTCTGGGGATCACTCTGATGGCAAAATGGGAATGTCATCTCTCTTCAGACCAATTTAGCAGGCTTTTTGCTTTTCTTACCCTTGTAAAAGGTTGAATTGGAGGAAGCAAAACATGAACAACGAATGAATGTTCCTGTTCTGTTGAATTTTGAAGGTATAGGTGGATTTTTTTCTCTGCTGCGCCTGTGGGAGTTATTTGAAATGTGCAGTATTATGACACCAAGACTTTTTTCCCAGGTTTTCCTTTACCTTGTGGGCCTGCAGCTCCCTAAAACTTGTGCTTGTTTGGATTCAGGCATCTTCATTTGTGTGTTGGTTGGGTAAAAATATGAAGCTATTCAGCGTCTGCAGTTGCTCTCTGAAATGGCAAACCTGGTTGGTTTGATTTTCTTCTTGCTCTCTGGATCTCAAACAGAGGGATGTTGAGGAGGGATCCTGGAGTTTTCCTGTTTTTTGTTTGTTTTTCTTTTATCAAGGGGAGAGGTAAACCTTTTTAAAACGTAACAACTTTTATGTTTAGGACAGGGGTTTTTTTTCCGGGAGAAGAAAGGAAGCTTGATTTCTTCTCTTTCCTGCCACTCCCTGTTTGAGTACATATGATCCCTCCCATCCCACAGATCCTGAAAGAAAATGAAACTGCTCTTGTGTTGACAGTACAGTTCAGTAGTGATCAGTAATTAAAAAATGAGTTCTACACCTACTCCAGATGTATTCAGTGCTAAGCTTTACATTGCCTATTGATTTTTACATCTCTTTAATTTCCCCTTTGCCACTTATTTCTGGCAGGCATATTTGAAATTGCTTATTAGATGAGGTGAGATGAAGCATAGAGCAATCAGTGTTGCATAATTTATTTGGTATCGTTGGGTGTTTTTGTCTTTACAGAGCACCTGCCAACCTGCTTGTGAGAGAGGGGGTGGGAGGGAATGTCTCTCGTTTCTACGTTGTGCCACTGCAGACTTGTTCTGGTGGTGTTTACTTGTCCTCACCTTGGGTTCATATCTTCTTGCTCTTTACCTTTAGTGGAAGGGAACCACCCAACCGATGAAACTGAACACTCGTCCCTCCAACGGGCTCCTCCGGCACATCCTGCAGCAAGTGTATAACCACTCGGTGACTGATCCAGAGAAACTCAACAACTATGAGCCCTTTTCCCCAGAGGTTTACGGAGAAACTTCCTTTGACTTAGTGGCCCAAATGATAGATGAAATTAAAATGACAGAGGATGATTTGTTTGTTGATTTGGGCAGTGGTAAGTCCTCAATAATTTCAGTGGGTTTTCTTTTCCTGTTTTTGCTTGCTATTTTTTCCTTTGTTTAAAAAAAAACCAAAACAATCCAACTTAAATTCGTATTTGGAAGGTAAACCAGGACTAAGGATTGTGTTGTAGGATAAGCACTTTCTCTAGATAATCCCAAATGATGCTTCTGCTTTTTATGACAAGATTAAATAGACCAAACAGACATCCCAGACATTGTTCCCTGTGCTGTTAGTGAAATATCAGCCTACAGATGCAATAAACCCTTGTTACAGAAAACTCCTGGTTTCTGTTGCTATTGGTGGATACACTTAGAAAGAAGAAACAATATTAACAACCATGCTTGAAAGATAACAATAACAGTTGCATTTCTAAGGGTTCATCTGTTTTCAGTGGATTATGTCCTTCATCTCTGAAAATGTGATTTATTGTCCCTTCCCATGCCAGCATGAAACACTTGGTATGGAATCTGAAAATTATACAGTTTTTTTTTTTCCTTTGACACACTTTTCAGTGTGTCAAAAAAGATTTTGTAGTTAGCTTTAGGAGCTGCCTTGTGAGACCCCACAAAATCTAGCTTATAACCTACAACTGCGTCTTGTGAACACGTTAGAGTTTTAAAAAGAAATAGATGTTTCTAGCTGATAAAGAAACCAGATATGACTCAAACACATGTGGAACAGATATACTGGGTAAGAAGATGATGTTCTTCTTTTTGTTCCTGGAATCTGGTTCAGAGCAGGAAAGGAGTACTAAAAATTTCCCCTTTTACTGGATGGACTGTAAAGTTTTAAATGAAATATGTTTTGGTTTTGTTACTGGTATGATACAGGACTTCTGGGGAAAAATATTTTAAATACATTCAGTTGTTAAAAGCCAAATGTATTTTAAATTTAAATACAGCAGGACTGCTGTTCTGTCCCAAAATTTAATACATCTCCAGTCAGGTATCTTCAGTTAATTTTTTTTTCATGATTTTTTTTTTTTTTTTACCCTCCGCCTCCTTCCTCAGTGGGACTTATGTCTGAAATTTCCGTGACTTGTGTTCAGATGAGACATTTAGAAAGGCATCAGATCTGACAAGCTATTTTCCATCTGGAAGAAAAAAAAAGCCATAGATGCTCACAATTGTTTGTTCAGGAAGGTTAAAAAAGATCATATCTGAAGTCCTGTAGTGCTACTGATTATGTAACAAGCTCAAATGTTAGCTGCTTTTACCTGCTATCGTCAGAAATAAAATCAGGTATTTATTGCTAACCTCCCCATTTTAATCTCGGACCCACAATATAAAAATTCATAGTCTAAAAAGCCTGTGTGAAAGGAATTGTTTAATTTCAGAAGCTTTTGGCTTTTAGTGATTGGAGCACTGAAACAATTAAAACCAGAACATAGTCGTTGAGTTTGTACTGAAGGAGTGAACTCTTTGTAAATTGTGATCAGTGCAGCACTGAGTGCAGTGTAAATGAAAACACTGTCACAGCATATTATTTCTATCAGTAAATTGAACGCCGTTCCAATAACTCCCCGCGTGCAGCAGTGGCTGAACAGCAGGGCTCAACCCGCCAGGATGCTGTGGCTGCTGGTGTTAGTTTTGTGTGCGCTGCCAGGAATATGCGGCTCGTTGCAGGAGGAGTTTATGGAGGTATGCATCATCGTTAGGCAAACTGAAATGACAAGACAGTTAAGGTCTTGCAGAAAGAAAAGCCAAAGAAAGACAAGATTAACCACTTCTTATGCCGTATCATGGGATAGCTGATGATGCAGCGTGTTGTTGATCGTCCCCTTAGTTTTTGTCCTCCTCGCTCTTCATAAATAAGAAACAAAAAAACTCAGATCTTTGATAGTCCACGTTCTCCCTGCCCTGCAGAAATTTCTCTATCCACATTTGCATGCGTATAAAATATGCACGTGTATGCAAAACGGGAATTGGCAAAAAACCCCAAAACCAACCAAAAAAAACCCAACAACAAAACCCCCTGTCAGCACTCCAGTTCTCATTGTGCCAGCCAGCAGTACAGTGGCGATGGTTTAAATGCAGGATCCTCCCCTTCAATTACCAGTGCCGCTTCCCGCCGGCAGCCAGTGGGATGGAAAACAGCAATATGCTTTCTGCGCAAATGGCTTATCCTCTCGGATTCACTCTTGTTTCCCATGTGGTCATCTGCAGAACGATGAAGTGCGCTGGTGAGACAAGACCGTG